CCATTGGTTTAGAAGGTTTAGACTTCACTTGACAGGTTCAGTTGGAGGCGATCATAGGTGGCGCCTGTGACAAAGGGAAATTGTGCTTTTCCAGCATGCTGACTGACCCTGATTTACCTCAGGAGTTTGAAAGGTGAGTACCGCTTGTGTTTTTTTGGTTTTGTTTTGTTTTGTTTTGTTTTTCTACCCTAATATATTGAAGTACAACTCTTTCATTTCACAGTCGTCTGTGAATCAACTGGGAAATGTAGACGGTGCTCCCCCCCGCAGCCCCCCAAAATGTGTTTGTGAGCACAGCTCTGAGCTGGCTTTTCTGTAATCTCGGGAACTGATTTCTGTTCTGGTTTCCCGGACCAAACTGAACTGATCTGCAAAGTGTCTGGGCTTTCAGCTAATGTTTTTAGGTTGAGTCCGATCTGAGGCAGGAAATTAAATGAACATTAAATCCCCCCCCCAATTCCCTGCTGCTCTCCTTTCTTCACTCTTACTTTTTTCCTTCACGATCCCCCACTACAGTTCTACACTGTTTAAAAGTGCTTTTGTACAGTGTTACCATATCAAGCATCTCTGTCTCATGTAATTTGGGAAGTGACAGAAGGCTTCGGTGGTAGTTAGAGCGGAGGCTGTGAAATTCCTATTTGATCCCTCTGTAAAACTTCAGAAACTGCTCAGAAAACCACGACCTTTTGTTGATGTAAAACAGCAAGGGTTTTTACTTTGCAAGAAAATTTCACATCCCAGTTACTTCTAGTAGCTGGTTCTTGGAATGTCAAAAGAGAAGAGGAAGGGGAGTTAGGAAACAGGGCGCCCCCTTTTTAAGTTTCCTGGCCACTTTTTTGTTAGCTGTCTTAACTGAAATTTGATAAACTGCATTTTTTGCCTCTGTTCTGATGGGAGTAAGTGTATTTGCAATTAGTTATCCCTATTTAGAGAGAGATGTACAATTGTCTTCCGTTTGACGTTCTTTCAAGTAACACAGGGTCTTTGAAAGAATTTTAGCCCTGTTCATGTCCCTGTAAGTACACATGTGATTTTTCAATTTGAGTTCTTATCCCAGTGTAAGTTCAATTTTTTGAACTATAGATAGATTTTTGTTTGCCATTAAAAAGAATTCAAACTTTGTATTCTGTATGGTGAATTTAAAAAAAAAAAAAAAAAAGCTAAAAAAAGCCAGGATGCAAGATACCCAAGATACCCAGGCTTGTTTCATTTCCATGAAAGCTACCTTCTGTATAAACATTTGTTGTATCTGACTAGGCAACCAAGCTAGGTGCTAGACCAGCTGGTTAAAAATATGCTAAGTCAAGCTGTTCATCGCTCAAACGCCTGAATTTGATAGGAAAAGACAAAAAAAGAAAGGACAAAGATTAAAACATTCTGGAAGTGAAGCCTTGGAAGGGAAAAATAGTGTCGAGAAGAAAATAACCCTTGGACATGGTCACACTGTTAGAGGAGCCACTGCCTGATCAGGGACTAGTGTAAAATCCCGAATACACACTTTAATGCTGTCTTTCGCTGTCTTTTTCTTTTTTCTTAATTTCACTCACTGATTCCATTTTTAGCAGTTCTGAATTATTTTTTTCCAACTTTTAATTTATTAACTCTTCAAACTAGTTATCTTTGATTTGCAAATATAGCCTTGTTTCTATGTAGATATTGAAGCTATTCATATTGGAACTCATTATTGCATCATGTTGCAATTTGTTAATTTAGCAGAGTAAGTTTGCTAGCTTGAAATGATCATTTCCCTTAATTCTAATTATACTTTTTGAAAATAAAACTCTGTCTGATTTGTAAGCCTGTTAATAGATTGTTCTTATAAAAGGTAGTTACATATTAACAGGCTTCAGCCTGTTTTTCTATATAGGCAAGCCCCTGCTGTGAACTTTATTTGTATTTTTTCAATTATCTCTTTTTAAGCCAAACTTTTCCCTTTAATATCCTGATGCCCATGTCTCTTAACATTGCTTTTTACCTTCTGGTGAGAATGTTTTTCTTTTTTCTTTCTGTGTTGTCCAGAGGGATATTCTTTTCAACTTGTTAATTAAGTCAGTGATAATCAGTATGTTTGTTAGTATGGACATCATATTTGTAAGTAGCACTAGTTAAAATAATTTTGAAAACTGTAATACAGTGTTAACACTTTTAATAATTTCCCCAGTAGATGCAAATAGAAATACTCACAAAAATCTCAGTAAATCATTACTATTTGTTTACATTGAATTTTTTTCCAGTCAGTGTATCTGTAGTCATTTACATGAAGTTGAAATATCATGGAGTTATAATATTGAATATTGATATTGTCCAAAGAGGGACTATATAATACAACTGTACTTACATATATAATCAGAGGGAAGGTTGTTTTTCTTCTTTGCCTTTTCAGTTATTTGCAAGTTTTATTGAATAAATAGGTCATTTCTATTGACTTAATTTTTACTCTGTTTGCTCACCTGCCATCAAGGCATTTTTCACTCAAACCCATTCAATCTTCGAAAAGAAAACTTCTTGGTTTCTTTATGAAAAGACAGAAATAAGTTGCTTGAGCTCAAGTGCCATGGAAGTTTTAAGTTTTCCTAAAGTCACTGGAGGAGAATTGTCTGTCTTCTATAAGCTTCCCAACATTGAGACGATTTCAAAACTTCAAGATTAGCATCAGAATATGGGTTTAGATGTTTGGATTGAACTATGTCTTTGTTTTCCTCTGTAGAATAATCTGACTGATAGAGGGTTCTTAAATTCTTAAGAAGTAGAAACTGTTTCATTGTCTGTTAAGAATGTTTAGGAGGTCAGTGGAAATAGTTCTCCGAAGTCAAAACCTTGAACTGCTCCATTGCAGTGCTGAAGCTGGTCATGATTACGGAAGGATCTAATTCTCAGGTGATGATGGAGAGGTAGAGCAGGCACTAGAGGAGCACTTGTAAGGAAAACCTTGTCTTGCAATTGACGTGAAGCCTATGTGGAATCATGGACTAAGAGTTAGGAAGGGCATTGCTGAGTGAAAGTCTGGACTCTCCAAAGACGGTCTAAAGTCACTTACCTTCTACTGTTACCTGGATGTTAAACAATGAAAAACTATAACCTCAGGTTTTGCATTTGAGAATGTCATCTATTTCATGATATTTAAATATTTAAACATCTTTGCCTTAACACAACTTTCCTGGTGTGTGAAAAGTAGGCATGGCTGGTAGTTGGTCAATGGTGTGACCTTCTCTCCCTCGCTCTTGTTTTTTCTTTGTATTAACAGTCATCCTGTTTCTCCTAATTGAATGAGGACAAAGCTACTTTATATACATTTTGGTTGTTGAATTCTAGAGATTTCATTTTTAAAAAATGGGTTGAAAATAATCTTTGAAAAGGGTAACGGCCCAAAAAGAAAAAAGTTTAGATGGAAGAACATTAAGTCTGCAGATCCTGGTGTTGTGTGTCTCTCTAAAAACGGGTGAAGAGAGTAGTCTGGTTCCAAATACTGTGAACATTGGGGGGACAAGACTTTATCAATAAAAGTCACCTCAGCTTACACTCTTCACATCCAGGATAGATTTATTTATAGTCAGACCAACTGAAAAAAAAATGTTTTTTTTTTTTTCTCCATAGAAAACTTTTAAATGTTATTCTGAAGCAGAGAATATACCTCAGGTGCTGTGAAAATTACTTTGCAAAACTACTGTGAAAAACCACCACTATCTAGCAGGGCCGCAAGAATATCACTGACAATGTTGGTGTTTTAATTAACTGACCATACTAATAAAATATTCATTACCCAGCCATTCATTCAGTGTGATTAGAGACTTTAAAAAATCCACTGTACTCTAGAGTGATAAGGAGCTTTAGGTTAGCAGGTAATCTCTAGGTGGGAATCAAGGGAAAGTTATATGCCCAGATTCTGTCCCCTCAGGGTGACTGTCAGCTTGTAAGGTTAATTGTAGGTTTTTAGTATGTTCTCCTACGTGCTTTGGTCATTTTAGCTCTCTTTCACTTACTGCTACTTTGGGGGGGTGCATATTTATGAGTCATTATAGATTTAATTGCCGTCTCAATAATTTGCAAGGTAACTGAACTGACAACCTTGGTTTGGAATGCAGTTTGCATGTAGTTGTTCATAAACCACACTTGTGTCCCATACCCCAGAGTTCTGTCGGAAGTCTTGGCAGGAGCTTGACTGATTGTCAAGAACAATGCAGGGTTAAATGCCAGGTGGCACTGTGGACCCATCAGGATTTAGCAGGTTGGATGGATACAGGTGTATGTGACTATCCTGACTGCATGTTTGTGCATTCTTACATTTCCCACATATAAGGATCATATGTTATCTACCTGTTCTTGGAGAGCTTTTGAACAGGAGTTTGTACGTGCATCAGACATGAGAGACAGACAGATAAGGAGATGTGTCTGGGTTTGGGACACACCACTTTTCTGTGAGTTGGAAGCCATTTCACATGGTTTCCATTCATAATGCATTTATGAAGCGCTGGGTGACGTCTCTTTTTAAGTTTGCTCTTCCTGCTTTCCATCCTTGATTCACCTAAGGTGCATTTATTGCATCATGCAGGCATTTGTTATGTAGTCAAAATACCACCCTTTTCTAGATTAGCTCAAAAGCATAGCTGATAGGTGGTGTTTACTTACATAATTTGTTATTCATCTATAATTTTACTGAGGTTAACCAATAACATGGCATGTAAACCAAGCTAAGTTTTCTTTTGTACTGATTCAGTATGTAAAGTCTCTGGTGCAGGTGACAGTAATGACCTCAGAATATGTTCAGAGATTTACCCAACACACGATTTGTCTTCTTTCTAATCTAAACATTGAGTTGAATAAGAAATCGATGCAATCACTGTGAGATCTTCCTTCCTTCATCCCGTGCTTTCCATTGAGGAACCATAGCATCCTAGTTTGTACTGCATGTAAAATTCAAATGCTTGTATGAACAGCCTCAGGGGTGTTTCTAGAGTAGGAAAGAGAAAAACTAAAGCCTGATACTATTTTGTGTCAATCCACAGTGTTTCTCTGTCCCGTCTCTCCCTTCTGACTTGCGTGTTCTCCCCGGCAGCGTGTAAGCAGCTCTGTCTTTTCTCTAGTGCTTCTAACCTCCTCACTTGCTAGCTGAGAGTTCTTCCCTCTCCTCTGGAG